GGTACTTGAAAAGGCACAGTTTGTAAAATTAATACAGAAAGGAATATAGTTTGTGGTCCCTTGATCACACCCCCCCCCCCCCTCAAAAGTGCTTGAAAAAAATAAGCCCCTTAATAGAGGATTTACGGTACTTGAGAAGCGAAGATTTTGAACATTGATATCATAAGGAAATTGGGTTTCGTCGCCTTTGTTCACGTACAATTGTTTTCACCAAACAGAGCGTACAAGAAGAAAAGAAAAAGGCGTATATAGTTTAAGCTTCTAAAATCTCGATTTAACGATATGTGTTTTATTCACCACACACTCATATGTCGAAGGATAAGCAATGTTACGAAAAAAACAATAACCAACGATGTCTTGAAAAATTATCTGTGGCTTGACTAGTAATAGCAAGGACCCTGATCCCTGCGCGGGGGTTGCAGAATTCCATGCTTTAAGCACGTGATTGATCAAACAGGATACTAGTAATGTTTCTTTTTACCCTCTCGAGTTCTTCGATTAAAAAGCACCAATTAATATGTCGTCTATCAAGTAGCACAGTCCTGAAGCTGTTTATGATTCCGAATATACATAGACTGCGAGCAGTCTCTTATTTGTCTTTGCAAAGTTACTGCACGCGAAACCTAAGCACGCGAGGGGCGAAGCCGCGAGCCGCGAGAAACTTCTCGTCTCAATTGTAATAAAATCGTCGTGGATCGCAATCGCGCTGGATGAGATAAGAACTAGACGGATTTTAAGAGAAAAGACGGACTGCAAGCAGTGTAGAATATACATTACGGCAAACATTGAATAGAGTAGTTTCTATAGTTACAAGAGATGACGTCATTATTGAAATGAGATCTGTACAGTATCGTAAATGATCCCCCCGTGCAAATGATGCTCAGACTGCAAATGATCCCCTAAATGGACCGGAAATGATCCTGGACGGCAAATAATTCGCATTGTTGACGGCAAGTGATCCCGTGAAAAGTAGAGGAATGGAATTGATTTCACGCGTGGATGGTGAATGTGCTGAGAACTTGAACAACGTGTAGAACAATTAAATGAATAAAACTATAAATAACCGCACTGTTTCTTTTGGCAATTTTTTCTCCTTTCTTCAGTCAAGCATTTGATGTTTCGTTGCTGTGAAAATTTAGGATAGAAGGGGCGTCAAGAAGGAAACTTGTCTTTCATTCTAACCACTAGGAATAGAGTTCTAAAGTAATGACGTCATAAAAATTAAATTCTGAAATTATGGGATTTGTCAGGATATTCTGAAAGAACAACGTCCAATTGACTAGGGTCGACCCAAAACAAATTTAGAAGGGTTTGTATGGAGTTATCAGAGCATAACTGGGCTTATATCTCAGAGACAATTTGCTCTTTCAGAATATCCTGACAAATCCCATAATTTCAGAAATTTAATTTTTATGACGTCACATTTAAGAACTGTATGGAGAAATATGACCCATGTATTTATCACTCTGTAGAAGTTTTAGCAACTACAAACCTACATTTTTTCGTGCCTTTCCTGCTGGAGACAGAGACAGTTACAAAGATGCAAAATCAGGAAAAGAGAAACGAAGGAACGATTACATGGAAACTTTGTACCATTATGCAACGAATTCTCCTAATTAGGCCTTTCCCGATTGCGCTGAGCACCTTTTGAGCACTTTTTTGAGTTTGGAGCACTATTTTGCATTTTGAGCACCCTTAAGCACTTTTTCGCACTTTGGGCAACATTTGAGTTATATTTCACATTTCGAGCAAATTTCGAGCAACATATGTCTTCTAAAACAAAAACAAAAACAAA